AATGTGTGTAATGTCTCTAGAGCTAAATGTTTGATGACATCTATTGATAATTGTATATGACTGACATTAATCTATGTTATAAAACAGAAAATTAATGTCAATCATATTCTCAAAGCATTATAACTAAAATAACAACCGATTTGAGCTCGGTATTAAAAGTTTAGGGCCAATATTGCTCGTGATTAATCTAACCCATTTTTAGCCAAAAAAAATATATTATTCACCAATTCTCACGTGCTACCAAATAACACGTAACAAAATGAGGTGGCTAAAAACAAAAACATACATCTTTTTGAGGTTATCAAGCATACTCTCCTCTAGAATAAACCCAAAAGATATTTGAGAGAATTCATCCTAACATTGACATAACTAATAGGATACCTTCCAGAGTAATTGGTTTCAAAATTCCCTTACACTACCTCATTAAAACTTTTTTCTAGAAGAAATTTCTTCAAAAAAAAAAATCCTCTTGAATATTTAGATGTGACTTATGTACAAAATCATAGACAAAAACGAGAAAAATTAAATATAGAGCACTTAGGTTTATCTTCTTACAATATTCACATTCAAATATTAAACAATTATTATCATCAAATCACCAAAAAAAAATATTTATATCAATAGATATCACATTTAATAAAAGCTATCATTCTTGATCATGTATCTTCAAGAGTGACAACATTCATATAGAAGATAAATCTAAAAAAAAAATCAATTATTTCCCCTGATCAACCAATAATATATAGAAAAGACAACAACATAATCACGTTAAGATTCTCCAATTACTATATCACACCAAGTTTATACATGAAAGATAAAGGCCATTCAAACTCTCTTGCAAGTCTAAAACTCAAACCCATGCGAGGTAATCTTCCTTCATCTCCTAACAAGAAAGATAAAGCACATTCAAACTCACTTGCAAGTCTAAAACTTGAAACCCATGCTAGGTAATCTTCTTTCATCTCCTAACAATGATTTTGATCAAATTATTGTTATATGAAAAGATACCAACATTATTTATACCCAATAACTCGATACATAACCTTAAAAAATTTCTCTGTCAATCATAAGGCCTTTCATATAAATATCGATACCATCAAAATTCCATAATCACTATTTGAAATTTTTAAGAAAATAAGAACTTCAAAAAAAAGTTAGTGAGAGAAGAGATGAATACACTTAAAAAATTTATGCTAACGATATAGTTGAGTTACCTAACAATTAAAGGACTTTTGGATGTAAATCGAAGAGAAAAAAAAGTTTAGAAATGTATGAAATCGCTTGGAGGCAAAAGGATATACTCAATCCTATGGTGTTGATTATAAGACTCCAGCAACGAAAATAGTACAATTTACATCCTTATCTCCTTGATCGTTAACCTTAAATGATCCATGCAATAAAACAGATAAAAGAACATGTTTGGCATTGTGATATAGAAATATTTTTTTATAAATTTCCACTAAGATCCAATAACTATTTTTTTTAAAAAAAAAGTATCATAAATTAAAACGACCTACAAGGACATGTTCTGAAATTTTTACAAAAGCTAAGTGTCAAATTGACAAAGCCAAGGAAATCAAACACTCGTTATAAAACAATCAATTGAAAGGAGAATGACAATTCTTATGATTATTATTATTATTATTATTATTATTATTGTATATATATATATTTATAAACGAGCCAAACACGAACAAATATCGTGTTCGAATCTTCTTTTATTATTATTATTATTATTATTGTATATATATATATATATATATATTGATGGCATGATTATTGTAGGTCATGACAATAAAAATAACTTAGAAAAAATCAATACAGAATATGAGACAAAAAATTTAACTACTTAAAACATTTCCTTGCATGGAAGTAGCTAAATTAAGAAGAGGAAGATCTATCTCACAATTGCAATATAACAATGGCCATTTAAGATAAGAAAATTTAATGGATTGCAAATCATATGAAAATCGTATAAAACCTGACCTAAAACTAGATGCAAATAAGGAAATAGAGGTCAACAAAGGAAGATGCCTCAGTCTAGTTAAAAAAATAATATATTTATTTGACACACATCCCCATAATGCATAAGTCTCATAAGTCAACTCAAGCAAAAAATAAAGGAGTCGCAACTTCAGGCTACCTATAAAGTTCTCATGTATTTAAAATATAATCCTAGAAAAAATATTCTATAGAAAAACATGAAACCTTAAAATTAAAACGTTGTGTTGATGGTGACTATGCGGGAAAGCTAGTGAATGGAAGAGCAGTTTTAGGAAATTGCACAATATTAGAAGAAAATATTAAAATATGAAAAAGTTTCAAATAACATACAGTCATAAGAAAAAGTGCAAAATCTAAGTTTAGAATAACTGCCTTAGTTTCAGTGAGCTAATATGGTTAAAACTCCTACTTGAATAATTAAAAATTAAATGGGAAAGACCAATAAGGCAAAATGTGATAAATAGATTGCTATAAGCAATGTTCATAATCTAGTATTACATGACCGAACTAAGCATGTGAAGTACATAGACGCTTCATAAAAATAACTTCAGCAAAAAATCAACTAGCACATATATTCGTTAAAAGAATTTACAGTATTGCATTAAAAAAAATCATGTTAAACTACGAATGGTAGATCTCAGCCAACAAATTTGAGGGGGAGTGTTAAAAGACCCTGGGATTTGAAAACGAAATAACAAGGCAGGCTTCTTGCTAAAACCATAAATGGCATCCTCTATTTCATGGATTGTTAATGTGTAGGCACCAAAGTCCACAGATTCAAGGAAGCAAAATTCAAAAAAAAAAAAAAAGTGTAGAGCCGCAGATATATGAACAGATGTCCTCGATATTTTGCAAAAATAGTGTAACTATTTCTCTTCTTGGAATTGTAAGTGTGCCTAATATATCCTAGATAGCTCTATATATAATTAATCCTTGAATGAAAGAGAAAAGACGCGTGTTTTTGTTATTCTCCGCTTTTCTACAAGAAGGCTTGCTTGTGTACAACTAATAGAGACAACAATATTAAGAAGGCAAGAGAAAAGAATTAAATGGAAACGTTTAGACAAGGAAAGGAGAGTATGTACTTCAAAATAATTGATAAAGTAGATTTATCACAATATTGCCTCCTGAATAGGTGATGTAGAAGCATGATCAACAAAGGCACCATATATTGCTAGATTGGGAAAATGATAAAAATGATTTCAGATGGCCTGTCTATGTGCTTATGTATGTTTCAATGTCACCAGTATTTTCACTGATGGCTGTTTTATGTGTGGATATTTAACTAATTCAGATATGGTGAATTTTTACAAGGTATGTGCTTAACAGGGCAAGTTCCAGAAATAACGTGTTTAAAAAATTCAATATCACATAAATATTTGCTGAAAATATCAAGTACTTAGAAGAAAGAAACTCAATAACATAATTAGGCACAAAATGTTGATCAGGAGATGACAGCTTGGGAATGAATGAAACAAACTCTACATTTCATAATTTCTAAGCACGACAGTATACAATCTTTATATATATATATATATATAGCAGTACCTTTTGTTATTCTCTGGTTTCTTTGGTCTGCAAGGAACGCTTATAAATACGAGGCTCTCCCCCCTACACCCGCTCTTACCACTTCATATATAATTGCTTATTTTCTTAAAGCTTCGCGCCACATTGCATTAAGTACTAATTCTTCACAAAGGGGTAGGAGGGCCACACTTTTACGGTGGAAACCCCCCTCTGATGGTCGGATTAAACTTAATGTGGATGGGAGCTGGACTTTAACTGCTGCTGGGATGGGTGGCATTTTTCGAAATTCTATGGGAAGCTGCCTTTGTTATTTTGTCTCGCCGGTTTGTGCCTCGTCACCTCTGGAGGCCGAGTGTTACTCTCTATGGAATGCATTAAATATTGTTGTTCTTTTTCATTTTCATGCTTTACATATTGAGACGGACTCGAAGGCACTCTTTAACATTTTCAATCGGATCACAACCCCTACCTGGAATGTCATTTGTTTGCTTAACATGATACATGATTATATAAAAAAACATAATTTGTTTATACAAGTTAACTTCATTTATAGGGAAAGTAATTCTGCTGCTGATTGGTTGGCTAAGCAAGGCCTGCAAGGAATTATGGTGGGGGTTTTGCCTCCGCCTCACCTTCAAACTCTTTTAAACGGGGATTTAATTAATGTGTCTTATATCAGAAGATAGCAAGTTTAATGGTTTATATCTGAGCTATTTTTTTGTCACCTTTTCACCATCTATTTTGCTTGCGTTTTGTTTCTTATGATGAATGTTGCGGTTTCATCTTGCTTGATCCTTGTTTGGGGAGTAAATTTATTGCACCTAGAGTTTCCTTTTCTTGGAGGTCTCCCTGCTCTATAGCGTGGAATTTTTTGGGTCTTATTGATCCTTGCTGCTTGGTATTTTCGGGAAATATATATATTTATATACAGTTTGGATATAATATTTTCACTGCTTTAGAGGTGGGATTTGGGATCTCTATCAGGTTGGGGAAGGTCTCCATTTATCTATTAATTAGCGATATGTTGTGGTTTGAAGCTCTACCATACTATGTCTCAAAGTTATATCCTTTTGACGCTAACTTTTCCTTTGAGTTTTGCTTGCGTTTGGACACAGGTTCCGAGTGTTATATTTGCATTCCTCAATGGAACTTCAAGCCTCTACTACGATTTTGCTGCTCGTCACTGCTGAAGTTTGGGAATGTGGTGTGCATGTAACTTTTTTGGGTATACTATGTGTTAGTATACATTTTGGATGATTACATGTATTTTATGTTTGGTTTTCTCTTGAGCTATTTAGTCTTATTAGCGTGGAGTTATACTGTGGAGAATGGAACCCCTAGGAACTTGATGTATTTTTGCATTTAGTTGGGGATCCACTATCCCTCCCAAACTTTGTAACCTCTTTTTAATTAACGCGTAAGGAGCCATGAGCAGCTCTTTTAATTAAAAAAAAAATATATAGCAGTACCTGTACTGTAGGGCGCGGTTCATAAATAGATAAATATCCTTTTGACTCAACTTGATTAAAATAAATATCATTTTCTGACAGCAAAAGATGAGCACAATAGCTTTCAAGTGGCTCGCTGCTACCATATAAAATCTGGAAACAATAAAAGAAGATTTTAATTAGTCATACAAAGTTCTGATAAGGAGACAACTGTAAAATCAGCAATAATGCGGATACGTGTATTTTTCTGTGTAGTGCTTGCTGACTTTCAGGGAATCCATCCTCCATTGTGACTCATGGAGATTGGAAACCTGAGCTGCAGTAGAGCCTTATATAATTGAATTTCACCTTGAAAGATGTACATATTATGAAGTAAAAAGTTCTCCTTAGAAAAAATTCAATCTAGTTCGAGAAAGTCTAACCTCCGCTAATTCTTCTGCTGTCACAGACCTCTTATTTTCCAAAAGTTCCTCCCAGGCACACTCCAAAATAGTCGGGTCCTTCAATGAAACCATACAAAACACAAAAGGGAAATAAAAAACATATTCCGATGAGAAGAAAGTCCCGAATAAGAAACATTCAACAAATTTCTACTTACCAAAAGACTATGAGCTTTCTGAATAAAATCAGGAATATCTCTATGATCGAAGTTTTCAAATACAGCAACAATATAGGTGATCTGCTGAGGCTTAATGGAGGATATGACCCCGTTCTGACTTCATAAATTAAAATAGATTGATATAAAAAAACAATATCAAAAACAATAACTCAGAATATTCTTGATTGCGGAATTCAGGATGGTTAGAAAGAACATATACATAAATATGCAAATCAACAAAAACAAGTGTAACACCTAGTGACCAATTCAACAAGCCGCAGTGGTTGTTTCTACAAAAACCTGATCGCAAACTATCCAGTTCTTCTTCCCATCAGGTTTCTGCGCGACAGCAAGCAATAACTTCTGTGTATCTTTCCGAAATTCAAGCAGACTGCCTTTCTGAAGTGAACGCTTCGCAGGCTTAACCTCAAGTAACTCCTCAGCAGTGCTCGCCAACTCCACTCTGCAATTTATCAATACAAATGATGAAAACATCCACAGGATAAACAGCAATATCTTTGGAGAGGATAGAACTTTCCTCTTGGTCGCGCGTACACGCCTCATCGAACGCATGGCCTTCAGCTCCTCCATAACGTAGTCAACGAGGCTATGGGCATGAGAGGTAGATTGGCCGCCATGGAATTGTGGGGTAAGGGAATTGGATGGAAACGTTCGAGAATGAGATAACTTTAACGTTGGTCGGGGCGAGGGAAAACGGATGCGAAAGAAATGGCGGGAGAGGACGAAGCAGAATGGAGGGTAGGCGGCGGAGCGCACGATGGAGAGGCTGCTCACCGCCCTGGTCGCCATGGGCTTGTTCATCCCTGATAGAGTTCCCTGAAAGGTAGAAGAAGAGCTATCCTCTCTTCTTCTTGACGACTTCGAGGGGTTTATTATGGTTTGAACATTAGAGTATGGATAACAGCCGGTGAACGGGTTTAGAGTCAATCGGCCGGCGACCACCGGCTAGCCAGATGCTGATAGGGTTTTAGGGGCTGTCAGGGAAAAGTTTAAATTTAAGTTATTAGGATTGAGTAAATCAGTAGAATGCTGACTTAATAAATTTTAAATGATTTTAATTCGAAAATTATATTATAACAGATTTACTAAATTTTATAAATTCAGCATAATTATTTGTCAAATAAAAATAACAAATTGAATATCTCTTACTTCAAATCTCATAAATTTATGATTTGGTCGGATTTAGGGCCTGTTTGGGATGCCGAACCAAACACTGAAATGTCGCGGCATTCTTTAATAAGTCCTTTTAATTTTGGCTCTAATGGCATCAGGTTAATTTTTCTTCGTCTTTCAATGTGTTCACGTTTTGATTTTGCATGTTATGAGTGTAAATAATAAAAATTTTGTGTTAGATATGTAAATACATAAGAATTGTGTGATATGTGTGTAAAATCGTATATTCTTTATTATCAAACTTTTAAACTATCACTCCATTCATAGGTTAGATGGATTATAAAGTGTACGTATCATATTTGATTTGTATAGCTTGCACTTATAGTGAACTATTCTATGCAAGGGCTTGGTTCTATAAGCATTATACAAACCTAATTCAAGTTAACTCATTGATAGTTTTGAAGGAGGCCGCACATTCCAATTTAAAAATAGTACTCTTTATTAGTTTTTTTCTTTTTTTTTTCTTTAGCACTTTCGGTACTCACTGTTATGTAGGTTATGTATCTAAATTTTTATTATGTTTTGAAAAGAATTTATGTTTCTGAGGTGTCAAATATGCGGTTGTCACAGTTCTATTTTAAACAGTTTTATTAAATATGAGCAAAATAATCATTTTTTTCAGAAACAGTTGTCCCAAGCTATTTTTACACAGCTACCTCAAATAGGGAGTCAGCTTTCCCGCGACAGCTTCCTGAGACAACGTAACTGTAACTGAAAAGCTGAAAAGTTGCAGCTGCTCCAAACAGACCCTTAAATTCAAATCAGAGAGATCTGAATTTATCAAATCCGCAATTTTATTTTGTCCAAAATAACCGTTTGATAAGATTTAATCTATATTCAAATTAAAATTTATTCAAATTTTTTTGTCAGACAGCCTCTGACTTTAGACTATTACACTTCAAGCATTAACATTAGAGGAGCTAATAATAAATGTTAGCTAGATTTGATTAAATTATGATAAATTATTTGACAGTTATTTATAGTAGTAAAAAATAAATAAAAAAATTCAAAAAAAAAGTGTTATGGAATCCCAATATTAGAAGGAGCTGGTCTTCTCAACCCACCAGGACAGGCTGTGGCCTAATGTCTTGATCCAGATTCAGGTCTATGAAGGTGAGACGAAGTCCCCAGAACAATACATTTCTCTTTGTTATTTTCTCCCAGCAGCTCCAAACCGAATTCCCTCCCTGTGCTGCCGCCATTCATGCCCATAACCTTTCTCCCAGGCTTAAGTTTAATCATGCTGCAAATGACCGTTCAATTTAGAAGTAAAGTATGAGTGAAGAAGAAATGGGGAAAATAAAGATAGAGAGATAAAGGCATACAGCCAGAAAATATTTGTTTATGAGATTCATGCATGTCTCCTTAAATCGCCGAGCCTCTCGAAATGTATAAAACTTATAACTTCTGAAATGTCTATTGCACCGTATTTGATACGTTAGAGAGATAAAGGCATACAGCCAGAAAATATTTGTTCATGAGATTCATGCATGTCTTCTTAAATCGCCGCGCCTCGCGAAATGTATGAAACTTATAACTTTTGAAATGTCTATTGCACCGTATTTGATACGTTGAGCGAATCCTATACACGTTTTTCTTAGCATGGTGGAGCAAAACTCGTATGCGACGCTTGGGAGTTTGGACGTGGTGGGCGAATCAAAAAGCTTCTGAAATGTTTATTTTGACTCATTTGATGCCTCAAGGAGAGCCCTATACATGTTTTACTTAGCATGGTGGGGTGAGGCTTGCAAGTGAAGATCGAGACGTGATAGAAAATTCAAAATCAAGTACTTGAGCATTTCTTTCTTGACGCGGCGGGGAAATATGTTGCAGGTACCTGAGATTGCACGGGCGACATCTGTACACGTTATTCTTAGCGTGACGGAGGATCGTGTTGCATTTTTTAAAACCCATGCATGCATTTCTTTACGTGGCGGGATACACGTCATTACGGTGGTGGAGCAAGCCACTCGTACACGTCTTTCTTTGCATAGTGGACAAACCCGAACTTCCGATGCAAGCACCTAACGGGGGATGACACCGAGAGGCTGCTGAAATGTTGCTAGATTTTTATGTAAGCATCAGACATGAAAGAGCAGCTGGATTGAACTTATCTGAACAAAAAAGAAATGCAATTGAATAAAAGCTCCTAATCTACATATTAAAGACTACAATGATTACATAAATTATTTTAAATGACAATTAAATATAAATAGAACTTGCACGACTCACAGGAACTCGAAGACTCATCAACAAGCTCGAATAAAACCAGGGGGGTCCACCTGAACACTCAAATGGGAGCCATGTATGGGAAAGATATGAAATTTCTAATATGCAATTGAAGTCTGCAACGCCTTCAATTCCCTTGGATCAACAACTCCAAATATACAAGTGGACAGAAAGCGAAGTTGAGGTCTCCGATGAAAATATTTGCAGTCATTTCAATAATAATATGCCCCTGCAAATAACTATAAATTCCCCTAAAAGTCACATAAATAAACAAATTAAAACACCCGCAAAGTGCTCCAACCAACGTTCTAAATGTTTGATCTTAAGGTCTAAAAATGATGCGCGGGAAAAATAATTGTCTAAGCTCAAATCAATATGCCTTGAAGTATGTGCTGAGCTATTTAAAAATATATTCAAACCAAAATACAAAACACCCGCATGTGCTCCGACCAATGTGTTCAATGCTCGATCTTAAGGACTGAAAATGTTGTGTGGGTTAAAATATGTGCTTACGCACAAAACCAAATGCCTTGAAATGTGTGCAAGGCTATATGGATCAACAAATTAAATTCCTACATGTGCTCCGGTATGCCTCTAAATATTCAAGCTTATGTGTCTAAGAATGTTGGAGCATTAGGCTACCTTGCCTATAGAGTGACGTCATAAGTCAAACCCTTTGGGCAATCCTATCCTCCCACTTACATGGACCAACGTCGACAAGATTGAACCCCCCACTAAGTTAGTCCAATCCTCCTCACGAAAATGGGAGTTAACAGGACTAGTGCTCCTATTAATATATAAATTTCAGTCGATCCCGGTAATGATCGTGTTAACCAAAGATTTCAACTGGAGAGGTTTATTTTGAATTTATACTTCAAAATCTATTGAATTCCATTATTTCAATTTCTGAACTTGATCCTCTGTAAGCAGGACAGAGTAAACAGATTTTAAAGATAAACAATTTCCTAATGGTGGTCGTGTTGATTGAATATTTCAATAGGAGAAGTCTATTTTAAAATTATACTTCAAAGTCTATTTTGAATTAAATTATTTCAATTTATGAATCTGATACTCTATAAGCGAGACAGAGTAGACAGAGTTTAAAGATAACAATTCTCCAATGAGGGTAGCGTTGACTAGAGATTTCAACTGGAGTGGTCAAATTTAAAATTATTCTTCAAAATCTATTTTAAATCCAATTATTTCAATTACTAAACTAGATCCTCTGTAAGTGGGACAAAGTCTGCAGGGTTTAAAGATAAATCATTTCCTGATGATGGTCGTGTTGATCATAAATTTCAACCGGATGGGTTTATTTATAAAATTAAAATATTTTAAATCATAAAAAAATAATATTTGAATGAAAAATTATGTTAATTAGTGCTTAAAGTGAAACTCATCCCCCTCCACAACCGTTTGTCGACATAGACAAATCAAATGCTAACTCGAACTCACAAAGCGCCAAGGTCATATCAAATATACTACTAAATTTAAATTCAAAACAATTCTATGTTAGTAAGAACGTGACCCGAGTCTTCTGTCTGCATGGTTCTTACCACCAAATGACACCACAAAGTAGTGGTTACGACCAGAGCCCTTTGATCGGGATGTTTGTCTCTAAATGGTACGATTATATTACAGTCACTATTGTAGCCCGTATGTTTCCCAATGACAATTTGCCCTTTTGAGTGTTGAATGGGGCAGAAAGCTTTTCTGTAAACTAAGATCAACTAAGATTAGTCTTCTCAGACAAATATTCACCCCAGGTATACAGTGTTTCCTTGGACGAGGCAACCCTTGGCTGCTGACAATGATTCTTCGGTCAGGTTGGGTCGACTACCTCTGCTGACTAAGGAGACTTAGGACCACGACGACCTGAGATGTGGGACCATGAGGTCTTGAACGGGTTCGTCATCGTTTCCCTCACCATCCTCTTTGAGCTCACTTTGATCATTTTTATTATTTATGTTCTCGAATTTGTTGCTACTATATGCTATGTTTGAATACTTAACGCCTAATAATTAGCCTTAATCGAAAGTGTCATCCCGTTATCGGTAGGGGTAATTAATCATAGGGGCTTGCGCCTATGACAAAACTCAAACCCCATATCTCAAAGTCCTCACAAAAATGAGATCGAAATATTATTTGCTATCTCATCTGTCTTTGGAAAATTTGAACTACTAACAAATGCATGCACACACGGTGTCAAGCTCTCGACGAAAATCCGGGGTTTTTTTTGAATTTTAGGAGCTCACAATGGTATTAACGAACTTTTGAACAATGGAGTTGTGCACAGTTCCCTCTTACTTAAACATTCTTTGTTTTAACTGATCTCACGGGGCATATGTTCAATTTGCATAATAGTTTTACAAAGATGGTCTCCACTTCTAAATAATCATTTAGTCAAAATTAGTGGAAGCATAATCATGATCAATTAAAATGTTGTTTGGCGACAACGCCCACAATTTACATTGAATTTAAAAACTCGAGCTCACAAAGCGCCAAGGTCATATCAAATATACTACTAAATTTAAATTCAAAACAATTCTATGTTAGTAAGAAC